AAGGCACACTGGGGAAGGAAATGAACAGCCTCCTTTCCTGGCTCTGCGCCTCTCCCCGTGACCCACCAGAGCTATAGGGACTGAACCACAGCATCGGGTCAGGGGACCGGTGACTTGACACCAAGCAGCCTTTGTCCCAAAGGGGGAAAAGGAAGATGAGGGCTCAGCCAGGCCGTGCTGCTGTTGACACTGGCGATGCCTCCCTCCAGGGCCCTGGGCCCACGTGGGCTCCCATAGCAGCCGGCACGCTGTGAACCAAATCCCCCGCCGTCCAGCCAGTGACTTTGTCGCTGCCCCAAGTTCTTTCTGTCCCCACTCCCTAACCTTTTACACTGGACTGTCCCGGGCCTTCACCCCAGCCCACTCCAGTATGGGATCCGGTTCCACTTTGAACCAGTGCAGCCCAAACCACCAGACCGCCTACTTCCTTGTTTCATTTTCTCTCCTGTTCTCTCTTTCTCTCTCTCTCTCATTCTTTTTAACTGTTTGCATAATCAGTCTCACTGCTTATGCCTTAAGTTTTCTCATGAATGTTTCCAAACAGTTATTCTCAGACTGAGGTGCTGACCACATGTTGTGCCAGAAGTGTATTTGGCACATCCCCCTTAATAAAGTGGAGCTGTGGAAATTGCTCGGAGCAGAGCCGGGTCAGGAGACAATAGACCTCTGCTCTCTTGATTTCTAATAGAAAGACATTGCAGGCATTGCCTCTAAAGTGTGTTTCTAAATTAAGAGGTTTTTGGTTTGTTTGTTTGTTTGTTTGTTTTTTAAGATTTTATTCTCTCACAGAGAGAGAGAGAGAGAGAGAGAAAGAGAGGCAGAGACACAGGCAGAGGGAGAAGCAGGCCCCATGCAAGGAGCCCAATGTGGGACTCGATCCTGGGACTCCAGGATCACGCCCTGGGCTGAAGGCAGGCGCTAAACCACTGAGCCACCCAGACGTCCCCTAAATCAAGAGTTTGGAACATGTTTTCTTTCCTTCATGTGGTCATTCTGTAGAGACATATTTGTGTCCAAGTTCACGGACCCATAGAAACCATGCTGTAAATGTAGACTAATTCCCAGGCTAGCCCAAAGCCAATTTAACCTGTACTGCACATGGTTGGTGTAAGCTAGCCTCAGAACCTAGCCACTGCCTAGAGCGCTGTACAGGAAACAGACTTAGGAACTCATTCCATAGATCATGCCAAACCACCTATTCCCGCCCTACTAAAAAGAGAATGTGATGTCATGGGGAGCCTGTCCTCTGAGTACCAGGGGCCATTCTGTTGTGTGGGCTTTTGTTTGGGCTGAGGAAAGAGGCTGGCCTCTGTTTTGCTTTTATTTTTTTAAACTTTCTGTTTTATTTTTATTTTTTTTAAAGATTTTATTTATTCATGAGAGACACAGAGAGAGGCAGAGACACAGGCAAAGGGAGAAGCAGACTCCCTGCAGGGAGCCCGACGTGGGATTCGACCCCGGGACCCCAGGATCACATCCTGAGCCAAAGACAGACGCTCAACTACTGAGCCACCCAGGAGTCCCTGGTTTATTTCTTAATCGTGCTAGTATACCAATTAGGATATACCAATCTTCCCAAACATGACCAGAACAGACATATAAATGCCCTTGCAAACATATAGATGCATATACAGGTTTCCCCCACAATCTAAAAATAGTTTCCTTGAAACCTTTTGTAGGTAGAAAGGGCCTAAAGGAAAGAGCATCCCTGTTTTTTTTAAAGTTTGAGTCAAGCCACTTCACTTTTAGGAAAGACCTGCATTAATACCTGTTTTCTAACCCAAAGAAACCTGAAGCAGATTTTCACTTTTAGGACAAAAACCATTGCCGTTGCTAATGTAGGTCTTTTGTAAATGCAAAGTGGACCACCATAGACTTTCAGAACGCAGGCATAATTGTATCCGTATATAATTTTTGTTTAGTTATCTTTTACATAAATAGGATCATCCTCTATATATTATTCTATAACTTGCTCTTTTTCCTGTGGGGTCTTGGAGAGTTTTCCACGCCAGGGCATATGGATTCATTGCATTCTTCAGCGTGCGTGTGTGTATGTGTGTGTGGTAAAATATGCATAACATAAAAGTTAGCATTTTGACCATTTTTAAGGGTACAACTCAGTGGGACTCATTATATTCACAACATTGTACACTCATAACCACTGTCTCCAAAAATTTTTTTCACTACCTCAAATATAATCTCTGTAACAACTAAGCAATTACTTCCCTTCCTGCCAGCTCCTGGAAACATCTAATCTGCTTCCTGTCTCTGTGAACTGGCCTCTTATAGATATTTCATAAAAGGAAACCATAAAATATTTGTCCTTTTACGTCTGGCTTATTTCACGTGGTGTGACTTATCAGGTCCGTATTGTAGCATGTATTAGAGCACTGCGTTCTTTTTATTTATTTTTTATTTTTTTTTAAGATTTATTTGTTTCTTATTAGAAACAGAGAGAGGGAGAGAGAGAGACAGGCAGAGGGAGAAGCAGACTCCATGTTGGGAGCCTGACATGGGACTCGATCCCTAGTCTCCAGGATCACACCCTGGGCTGAAGGCGGCGCTAAACCACTGAGCCACCCGGGCTGCCCACTGCATTGTTTTTAATCACTGTTATTTCATTGTATGAATGTAACATAACATACATAATAAACATACAAACACCTCCCATATTGAAAACTTTGTCCAACTTTATCGCCAACAATGCTGTAGTAAGCATCTTGGTACACAAATGTTCACGCATATGTGAAAAGGTTTTCTAGGATCAATTCCTGTAAGGTGAATTGCTGCATCAAAGGTTATATGCATTGAGACGCTTGGGTGGCTCAGTGGTTGAATGTCTGCCTTCAGCTTGGGTCATGATCCGATGGGATCATGGGAATGGGATCGAGTCCCGCATCACGCTCCCCGCAGGGGGCCTGCTTCTCCCTCTGCCTGTGTCTCTGCCTCTCTCTGTGTCTCTCATGAATAAATAAATAAAATCTTTAAAAAAATGTGCATTTAAAATTTTGATGTTATCACTGCATAAAAACACTGCGCCAATAGATACTGTGACCGCAGTGTAAGTGCCTACTCCATGCACCATTCCAGGCTCTGCTATTATTCGTCAGTTAAAATCCTTCCAGGCTGATGGCCAGAAAGTATTTTCTGGCACATTGCTCACTTCCATGACTGTTCGAGAGACCAAGCACCTCTTCATCCAGCTATTGGCGCTTACATGCAGTTGGTCCATTTTCAATGGAATAATGGAATCATTTCTTTTTTTACTGTATGTGATGGATGATTAGCCTGTGGAGTTTGTTACCTGTCCTGAAGCCATGTTTACAGAACCTTCCCTCTTAGGAAGAGTTTCACTTTTTATGTGATCAAACCTGGTATGGCTACCTTTTAGCTATCTGAATTTTTTAGCTTCCTCTTACAGAGGTCTCAAATTTTTCTAAATAAAATCACTCTGCATTTCATTCTGATAGTTTTTGTTTTTAATGTATAGTGCTTTAATCCCTGTGAAATTTCTTTTTTGTTTAACTTTTATTGTGGAATACCTCAAGCATACCCATATATTTAGAAGCAAATACCAGGCATACTATTTTATCTGTAAAACTGTTAGCATGTTATTTGCACAAGGTGATGCATTTTTTTACATACACCTCCATGTTATCATCATCACACCCGTGAAAATTCACAACCATTCCCTTATATCATCATCCAATACCCAAGCGTTGGTCACATTCCCAATTGTGTTATAAATGTCATGTTTTGTTTGTTTGTTTGTTTGAATTAGAAGTGAAATAAAGTTTTCAAAATGCATTTCAAAATAAAGTTGGCCTATTTCTTAAGTTAATAGTTACCATGTTCCTCCACTCTCTCTAGACTGTATGTTGTCTAAATTGGATCTATAAGTTAAATTCAGAGTGATCAGACACAGAGTCTCATTTTTTGGCAAGACTACTTTCTAGGTGGGTTATTTTTTTTTTTTTTAAGATTTTATTTATTATTCATGAGAGACACACAGAGGCAGAGACACAGGCAGAGGGAGAAGCAGGCTCCCTGCAGGAAGCCCGATGTGGGACTCAATCCCAGGACCCTAGGATCACGACCTGAGCCGAAGGCAGACAGATGCTCAACTACTGAGCCACCCAGGTGCCCCCTAGCTGGGGTGTTGTTTGCATTTTTTAAATATATGATGTAAGATGAGAATCTAACAATTTTTTTCCAGTGTATGGTTAATTGTATGTTGTACCAATAACATTTATGGAATGGTTCGGTTTCCTCCCAATAATTTGAACTGCCACCATCTCTCTCTCTCTCAATCTCTCTCTCTCTCTCTCTCCTCTCTCTCTCTCTCACACACACACACACACACACACACCACACACACACACATACACACGAGTTCTTTCCTGAACTCCTATTTTGTTTTCTTTATCTTTGTCTATGCCTAAGCCACATGGTTTTAAATCCTGTAGCTTTATAGTTTTTCATATTTAACAAGGCAGCTCATCCTTCATTAATCTTTTTAAAGCAATTTTTGGCTTTTCTTGTGCTTATTCTCCTCCATCATAATTTACCATTTGTTTAGTCCACATGTTAAGACTTTGGGATTACAATGAATTTGTAGACTAATTTGGAAACAAACAGCGTCTTTACCGTAATGGATCTTTCTAGCCAGGAATATGGTCTTTTCTTCTGCCCTTTCAGAGATGCCTTTTTTAATGCCTTTCAGGATAATTCTCTACTTTTTCTTTATGTAGTTCATTGTAATTTTTGTTAGTTTTATTTTTAGGCATTTTGCTATTTTTCCCCCACTATCTTTATTTCCTCATGCATTTGCCAACAGGTTATACCCAGTACTTAGGAAAGCTTGAGTTTTTACAAGCTGATCTTGTACCTGCCCAGGCACCTCGCCAGGTTCCCTTTTTAGAGGTCATAATTTTTTTTGTGTTGATTATTCCGGATTTCACGGTTGGCAATAATATCATCTGCAACTGGTTTCTTTTCAGGCTCATGCAGAGTCAAGTAAAACCTGGCTGATGGGAAAATTCACTGAACTCAGATTACTACTTGATGAAGAGGAAGTGCTGGCCAAGACATTCATTGATAAAAGCACACAGCTTACCCTCCGGGCGTACAGGGAGCAAATAGAATCTTGTAAAGAACAGATAGATGGCATGCACAGTCTCTCCAGCAGGGTCTGGAGGATCAACCAGGAGCCCGATCCCATGCTGCTGCTGCAGGTAATGCTGGGTTTCTGCCCTCACAGTGGACCCCTGCCCTACCCCCTGTATTTCATTTTGGTTACTGTGGCATTGAGCACAGTGTTTACACACTGAGTGAATGAATGCACAGAGAATTGCCTCGTCAGCATGCAGGCTTTCTTGCCCCCACACAAGTGGTAAGGAAATGTACATTGTTAAGGAGAGTGTATACATCTTGGACTAATGACATCATATTAACAGACACCATTTGGGGGTTGGGGGCCTCTATGTTCCAAGCACCCTTGGTATCTTAGCTCTAATATTTATTGAGACTCTACAAAGTGGATATTCTCACCCCAATTTATGAATGAGAAATTGAAGCCCAGAGAGGGTGACGTGACTTGTCCAAGGTCACACAGCTGATAGGCGACAGAGCTGTGATCAGAACCCAGGTTTGACTGATTCCAGAGCCACCGGCATGGCTGCCCAGCCCTCTGCCTTTATACTCTCACTCGAGGCACCCTTCCTGGAAAGGCAGTGTCCTTCCAGCTACTGAGCAGGCTCCAGGAGATGATGCACAGTTTGCTCAAAGGAGGAAGAAAGATGGTGCTCCTTGGCCACTCCTCCACTGCTGGAGGCTCTTATCTTATACTGGGGGAGGGTCTAAGAAACAGCCCCTATGATTCATTGCTATATTAATGAACACCTGTTGTTTGAGAGTGCTGTGCCTGTTTTATCAAGGAACTGTGGGAGAAACTCCCCTCTTGTGTCAGTACTTCTGGGCAGCGACCTGTCACTGGGATGGCTTTCCTGCTCACATGCCCCTTCCTGTTTCCTTCTTTGCCATGGCTTCTGGGAATCTCAGAGCTAACTAGGTTTCAGGTAGCTTGGCGAGGACTTGGTGGCATACAATTTGCTCCTCATCTCACTCTGGCGTCCTTAACCAGCTCACATCCTTAACCTGGTGTTCTCTTCACTTAATTTTGCTCACCGTAAAGGAAAATCTTGCAGTATTCCTTGTAACCTTGATAACCTTTGTAAGATGCCTTACAGGCTTGTGGGGCAACTAAATAAAGATGTCATTGAGTCTAACCACAGATTAGGCTCTGGCTGAAAAATAGACAAATAAGTCAATCAGTACAAAACCAGTTAAGCAAGTCCCTGCAAATGTTTGGAGGCTTGTGCGTTTGTGTCCTTGGTCAGTTCAGCCTGTGGGTCTCATTGTTAGCTAATGAAAGAATACACCTAACAAAAATTCTGGGTGAGGTGCTTTCCTAGGCACATTGGATACTATACTCTAAGAGGGGCAGGGTGGGCAGAGGGATACATTTGTTGGTTTCTCTAAAAATAATGGCACTTTGTAGGGATATCTAATACAAAGGGATGCTTCCATGGAGAAGAATGTTTTTCTCTCATCATAGATACAGTTTCAGGGCTTTGTCATCTTTTTTATTCTCTGGTGCCAGAGCTGCTGATTTTCATCATTCATCATTCCTCCCTTCTGTTTGCTCATTTGTATATTCATCAAATATATACTGAGCAACTTGTTCACACACCAGGCCCCTGCTGGATGTTAAGAGCTTGCAGGTGGGGAGACATGCTCAGAAATAGTTGTTTACAATGCAGCCAAAGCGAGCTAGCAAGAGTATGTCTAAGAAGTGTCCAATTCTGCATGAGGGGTCAGGGAAGACTTCTGAGGGGAGGTGACAGTGGAGCTGGGTGTGCGAGCAGGAGGAGGAACCCACCAGGCATATACAGAGGAACAGAGCAGAGAAGATATTCCAGGCAGAAAGGAATCCGATGCACTCAAGGGCCTGGCAGGCTGGAAAACCACTAGGGCAGGGATACAAGGGAGGAAGGGGTGTTGGGAGATGCAGCTGGATCTGGAAACCAGGGCTAGTTAGCCAAGGGCCATATGTCATGGGTTTAGACTGCCCTATAAAGATTTAGGAGCCAGGGGAGTGTTTTGAACTGGGGAACGACCCAGTCAGTTTAATGCTTTTGCAAGGTCACTTTGGTGACAGGATGGGGTCAGGACCGGTCGACCGGCATCAGGATGGGGAGAGGCAGGCGGGTTTGAGAGATGCCACAGGACTGGTAATTGGAAGTGGGGGAAATGCAAGATGATGGCCAGCTTCTGGCTTGAGATATGGGTGACTAGGGAGCTGTTTCCTGAGTTGGCAAAGGTGAGAAGCAGGTGGGCTCGATTTCATCCCTTATTCTATCATAAAGATTTACCGAGAGCCTACTAGGTGTCATGCCCAATGGTAGATGCTGGAGCTGGGGATACCAGGATGCCATTTGCCCTTCAGCCCCCTTCCCAGTCCCACTCCACCGGTCTGCCCTGTGAGCTACCCTCCTGCCCTGGAGCAACGCATCTGAACTCATGCTCTGGCAAGGGTCTCCAGCCCCCTGGGAGTGACCTTAGCCCTGGTTCCCCCACAGTTACCTTCTTCCACACCAAATGAGGATGGACTCTAGACCAGCACCCCCGAGGCTGCATGAGGCTTGGAGACCATCCTGTGGTCCCTCCTGAGGTCCCACCCTGCCTGGTGGGCTCGCCTTTGCCCAAGAGCAGAGTGCCGGCCATGCTCCCTCCTGAGGCATCCTGTCTCCTTGATCACCACTGCCCAGGAGCCAGGGCCTGCTCACTCACCGCACTCGTTGCCCAGGACGGCCCTTCAGAAAGTGCAGACTGGGGGGGATCCCTGGGTGGCTCAGGGGTTTGGTGCCTGCCTTTGGCCCCGGGCATGATCCTGGGGTCTCAGGATCGAGTCCCGCGTTGGGCTCCCGGCGTGGGGCCTGCTTCTTCCTCTGCCTGTGTCTCTGTGTCTCTGTGTCTCTGTCTCTCTCTCTATCATGAATAAATTAATAAAATCTTAAAAAAAAAAAAAAAGAAAGAAAGAAAGTGCAGACAGGGCTCCTACCTGCAAACAAGGGAGTCCACTGGAGCTGTTTTAAGCAAGTTTTTATGAAAGAGTATTTGGTAGGTCACAGGTTCTCCATCCAGGAGGGCCTGAAAGTCAGGATGGGGACCAGGCCACAGACAGAGATGTGCTCCTGCAGAGCCTCCCAGCTCCCAGCACAGCCTAGGCTCCGCCCCCCAAGGCCTCCACCCCTGTGGTCGCGTCTGGGATAGGGGGCTCCCTGCACCTGTCACTGCCTCACCCCACTTCCACCTCCAGGTCTTGGATTGGAGGAGCCTGGTCACATGCCTGCACTTTTGCGCAAAGTAGGCTGGGAAAGCCAGTTTTCTAGCTTCTACCTGGCAAAGCCCCACTTATGGCAGGAAGGCTATTCAAAGAGTGGGCTCCAGACAGGTCCTCGCTGTGGGGGGCATCCTTGCTGAACTTCCAGGGCCCTGGCTTCCCTCTTGGAACGGGGTTTCCTGCTCCCTCCTTAAGACGCGCCCGAGGGCTTCTTTCCCTGGGAAAACTGGCCGGTCATTCCTGTTGTCCCTCTGTACCTCAGGCTGACCCCCTGTGGCAGTGTCTGCAAAGCTCCAGGGCCCCTTGTGAGGTGGCGAGCAACCTGAGGGCAGGTGCCGCCGGCCAGCCTCCTTCCTTCCTCTGCCCCTAATGCCTAGCACGGAGCAGAGTTCCAGGAACAGGCGACCGAGGGAGGGAGGAATCAACAGCGCACTGAAGCTGTCTGGGGGTCCCCGCGGGGCTCAGCGGTGTAGCGCCGCCTGCAGCCCAGGGCCTGATCCTGGAGACCTGGGATTGAGTCCCGTGTCGGGCTCCCTGCATGGAGCCTGCTTCTCCCTCTGCCTGTGTCTCCGCCTCTGTGTGTCTATCATGAATAAATAAATGGAATCTTTAAAAAAAAAAAAATTTTTTTTAAAAAGCATGTCTGCCCCCCACCCCCCAGCCACCCCCGGCCTGGGGTCCTGCTGTGCCGTGTCTCTCTCTCTGCCCCACCCCCACCCCAGCTCTGTTCCCCAGGGGGCACGGCCTGGGCTGGTCCCAGGGGCCGGGGTGGGGGGCCCACATCCTGGGGGCAACAGTGGAGGCTGGGCCGGCCGGTGCTCCCACAGCCACCCTGACCCCCCACCCCGCACACCCTGGCAGGAGTACCGGGCCGCTGAGCAGGAGATCCAGCAGCAGATGAGCCTGGGAGAGCTGTGCTACCCTGTGCCCTTCTCCTTCGAGCCCGTCAAGAGCTTCTTTAAGGGCTTCATGGACGCCGTGCAGAGCGTGTTACAGACGCCGCTGGACATTCGCCTTAAGGACAGTAAGTTGCTGTGTGACCACCCCTGTGTCTTGAACTCCCCTAGAGACAACTGCGCAGACCGAGGCCTGTGGCTGGGCGGTGGAGGACTGCCCTTGGGACTTCACCTCCTCCTCTTCTGAGACCCCGTTCCCCCTCGCAACCACCCTGCCCTGCTCCTGCCCCTGAGCCGCTCCCGGGATCCGGCTACACCCCACCTTTGCCTGCCCAGGGTCCCTGGGCTCCTGGCCATCTGGCCAAGAGTCTCCACCCGGGAAGCCCTTCCACACCACCACCCTGCACCCACGCTGGCCCCAGGGGCCTGTACCGCTGCCTTGCCCCCTTGCCTTCCCTTCCTGCCCCATCTCCTGCTTCGGGCCATCCCTGAGAACGTCTCCCTGCCCATGGCAAATGCCTGAAGGGCAAGAACCCCCAGTCCCGCTTGGAGGCCCCACGCGGGGCCTAGCACAAAGCCGGTGCTCAGTATGATCTTCCTTCATTCATTCATCTCCGCTCTCAGGATTCACGGGCACACTTCTGAGCCCGGGTGCTCTGTTAGGTAGGACAGGGGACAAGGACAAATGGCTTGCCTTTGTGGTGCCCAGCGTCCTGGGAGTGAGACACACTGAGGATGTGAGTGGGGAGTGTTCTGAAGAAGCCAACAGCGGGGTGAGGAGAATAGGGGTGAGCAGGAGGAGGGGCTATGTCTCTGCGAAGCAAAGCCAGCATCTCGAAGCCAGCATCTCCGGGAAGGGACGTGCTCTTCCCTGCACTGCGCTGCTGCTGGACTCCAGCCCACTCCCCCAGGATGGTTCATGCCCTGGCACTCCTGCCACTGCAGTCTTCCTCAGCCCCAGTCCCTCTTCCGTCCCTCCTGTCCCACTGGGGGCCTGAGCCTCCGAGCAGGGCGTCTGCCTCCATGCTCACCCTGCCCCTTCCATTCCCCACCACCGAGAGCTTTGATTCTTCTCAGGTCTGCCTCCACTCAGACACCTTCCAAGGCTCCCCATGCTACTACCAGCACCTGCCCTGAATGTCTGTGCCCCTGCTAATGCCCTCTTGTTGGGGAAGCCTCCCATCCTTTTCTCTGGATGTCCCAATCTTCCCAATCCTTTAAGAGCTAGCTGAGGTGCTTCCTCCTCCATGATGGCTCCCTTGATTCACCTCCCTTCTCTGAGACCTAGAGCAGCATTCCCGTGCCTTGGTTGGTAGCTCAGGTGAGCCCACTTCTCACCTCTTTTACCTGATGGAGCAGTTGAAGACGGGGACTATGGCTTGGGTTTCCCCTAACTCCCTCACACTGGAATGAGACCTGAACATGACCTCTCTGAGGACCTAATTTCTTGTTTTCCATCTTATCCTGGAATTTGCATTTCTGTCGAGTGGTTGTCTTGACTGGTGAATACTTAGTTCATTCTCAGGGTCCTTCCTGAGCCTGCTGTCTCTTCCCCAGGCTCACGGCTCCACTCACACTCGCCTGAATTCGCTTCCCACCCTCAAAAGTACACTTCTCCTTAGACAGGAGTATTGTCCTAGAGTATTCCTGTTGCAAATTCAGGAATTTGTGTCTCTTGCTCAAATTTGCATGCGATTCTTGGGGAGGGATTATGCGAATCTCCAGTTTTGTGATATTTTTAGTGCGTTTTGTAATTTGCGCGGCTTGCATGAGCGCCAGGAACTCATTTCTCACAATCTGTTACAGACATGAACTGCCAGCTCTCGGGCTCCTCCAGCACCAAACTAGTTTCCTTGTTGAAAACAAGCCCCTCACCAGAGCGATCACTCTTCTTAAAATGTAAGCCCTGGGAGCCATAGCAAAGGGAGGGTGGAGAGGCCTGGGTGCATGGGTGGGGGGTGGGGGTCACAGAAATGGAAGTCACCCCCTTTTTTTCCTAACAGGCCCAACTTGGGTTTTTTTCAACCTTTATTACTAGTTTTTAAATACAGAATAAGGGGCATCTGGCTGGCTCAGTTGGTAGAGCATGCAACTCTTGATCTTGGGGTCATGAGTTTGAGCCTCATGTTAGATGTAGATATTACTTTAAAAGTAATAAAAAAAAATCTTAAATACAGAATAACATGTTCATTGTAGAAAAATTAGGAAGCAAAACCAAAAAAATTTTTAAAGAAAATTACTTTCCCATAGATAACTACTATTATTGCTTGCCCTGTTAACTCTCTTTGGTTTATATACATACAAGGAGGATATATTTAATATTATATATTTTTTACACACATGGTGTCATACTATACATACTGTTTGGTAACCTGTGTTTTCATTTAGTGATATATTGTGAAAATCTTTGTTCCCTTAAAAAATTATACAGGTAATGCATGATTCTTACAGAAAATTAGAAATTCTAGATATTAAAAAAAAGAAATTAGATATATAAAAAGAAAACGATTGCCTCTCCAAAGAAAATGCTGTTAATATTTTGGCATACATTCTTTCAGACATTTTAAAAACATATATGTGTATAATTTTTAAAAACAATCACATTATATTCTTTTGTAAATTTTTTATTTAACAGTATACCTTGAACAACTTTGTTTCAACAGATTTAAATATTATCATTAATTTTAAAGGATGCATGGTATTCCATTGAATGAATAGGCCACATTTAACAAATTTCATAATGCTGGGCATTTAGGCTGCTTTATATTTTCATTTCTATAAACAATGCTGCAATAAACATCCATTCTTGTACATATTTGCTGACCTAATGAGTAAGTGAATGGATACACCTTAGCTCATTTTTGGATTACTTTATAGGAGTAATTTCTCAAAGTGAAATTACTGGGCATATGCTTTTCAAAGTAAACTTTGAAATGTAAAATATATAAAGAAAAGTACAGAAGTCAAAGAGGTACTGTTCAGTTATCTTTTTAAAGAAACTATTTTTAGGGCAGCCTGGGTGGCTCAGTAGTTTAGTGCCTGCCTTCAGCCCAGGGCCTGATCCTGGAGACCCGGGATCAAGTCCCACGTCAGGCTCCCTGCATGGAGCCTGCTTCTCCCTCTGCCTGTGTCTCTGCCTCTCTCTCTCTCTCTCTCTCTCTCTCTCTCTCTCTCTGTCTCTCATGAGTAAATAAATAAAATCTTTTAAATAAATGTGCTATAGTCATACACTGGAATACTATATACAGCAGTGAAAACAAACTACTTCTACACACAAAAATATGAATAAATCTCCTAAATATTGAGTGACAGAAGCAAGACACAAAAAAGTACAATCCGAATGATCTAGTCACATAAAGTCCAAAGACAGGCAAAACTAATCTACAGTGTCAGAAATCAGGAGAGTAGTTACCCTTGGGGAGTAGTGAATAGGAGGCTGCATGAGGAAGGCTTCTGGGGACCTGGAAATTTCCATTTCTTGGTCTGAAGGAGATTAAAAACTTTGTTTACTTTTAAGAAATAATTGGACTGCCTGAGTGGGTCAGTTGGTTAAGCATCCAACTCTTGGTTTTGGCTCAGGTCATGATCTCAGGGTCACATGATCTAGTCCCACCATGGCCTCCACGCTTGGCGCAGAGTCTGCTGGAGATTTACTTCCGCTTCTTCTTCTTCCTTTCCCTCTGTTCACCCCTCCACTTCTGCTCTCACTCTCTCTCTAAAAATAAGTTCTTTTCTTTCTTTTTTAAAGATTTTATTTATTCATGAGAGACACAGAGAGACACATTTTATATTGAAGGACATTTTGGATTGTTTCTGGTTTGGCCTATAGTGAATGATGTTGCTATGAACATTCCTGTGCATGTATTTTGAATCACATATGTATGCATCTCTGTTGGATATTTACCAAGGAGTGGGAGAAAAGGATGCCTACCATAACCACTAATGTGCAACATTGTTCTAGATGTCCTATACAGTGCCGTGAGGTAAGAAAAAGAAATGAAGGCTATAAGGATTGGAAAAGGTGAAGGAAAAACCATTATTCATGATGACATGAATACAGAAAATCTAAAATATTCAAAAGATAAATTACAATTATTAAGTGAATTTTTAAAAAAGATTTTATTTATTCATGAGAGACACAGGCAGAGGGAGAAGTAGACTCCTTGCAGGGAGCACAACGTGGGGACTCAATCCCCAGACCCTGGGATCGTGCCCCGAGCCAAAGGCAGATGATGCTCAACCCCTGAGCCACACAGGCATCCCAGAATTATTAAGTGCATACAGAACAAACATCTGTTGGATATAATATCAGGATACAAAACACAATCATATTTCTATCCATTGGCAATAAATAATTAGAAAATGAGACAAAACATTTTTGACATTTAAAAAAAATCAGGAATAATATCTAACAAAAGATGTGCAAAATCTTGCTATAGGAAACATTACTGAGAAAACGATTTGGCAATATCTACTAGCTGAACATTCACAAGTCCTACCATCTAGACTGTTTTTCACATGTACAGATGTGATTTAGTGTAGCGAGAATGATTACTGGGAGTTAAGTCAGCGCCACGTTTCTAGGGCACAAGTTGGCAGTATGTACCAAAGGCCTTAAAAGCAAAATTATCTATCTTGACGCAGCAACTCCTCTTTTAGGAATGTCTCCACAACCAATAATCAGATGCATGAAGATGGAATTATATTAGTGTTTTCAAAAGCTTTTTTTAAAAGTCTAAATATTGAAAAGGGGGAGGGAGAGGTTAAATTACAACACACCAAAATCTTGGGGTCAAAAAAAATGTTAGGGTCACCATTACAATGCTCTGATAAAAAAAATATTATTTGTTAGGGTAACATGTTGATAAATACATCAACAAATCTTAAAAAGCGGATGACCCAAGAGCATGTATGGCATGATACCAGTAAGAAAAAAACTATGAAGTGGCAAGATAAAAGCCGGAAGGATACACACCCAAGCGTTAATAGTATTGGGACAGGATTTTTATTTATTTTTTTTTAAATTTTATTTATTTATGATAGTCACACAGAGAGAGAGAGAGGCAGAGACACAGGCAGAGGGAGAAGCAGGCCCCATGCACCGGGAGCCCGACGTGGGATTCGATCCCGGGTCTCCAGGATCGCGCCCTGGGCCAAAGGCAGGCGCCAAACCGCTGCGCCACCCAGGGATCCCGGGACAGGATTTTTAAATTAAATTTTTGGCCCCCTCCCCGTGCCCCCCAGCCACCTCCCCGGAGGCAATCTGGGCTGCAGGAGTAGCTTTTTCCGTTCCGCGCCCGCGGTGCCCGGCGCCTCCTCCTCGCGGGGCGGGGGGCGGGGGCGGGGGCGGGGGCGCCGGCCCCGCCCACCAGGTGTGCCCCGTCCCGCCCCCGCAGATGCGCGCACGCCCACGCTGGAGCCGGACACGATGCACGCGCGCCTGCGCCTCTCCGCCGACCGCCTGACGGTGCGCTGTGCCCTGGTGGGCCGCCTGGGCCCCGCGCCCGCGCTGCGCTTTGACAAGCTGTGGCAGGTGCTGGGCCGCGACTGCTACGCCGCCGGCCGCCACTACTGGGAGGTGGACGTGCAGGAGGCGGGCGTGGGCTGGTGGGTGGGCGCGGCCTACGCGTCCCTGCGGCGCTGCGGGGCCTCGGCCGCCGCCCGCCTGGGCTGCAACCGGCAGTCCTGGTGCCTCAAGCGCTACGACCTCGAGTACTGGGCCTTCCACGACGGCCAGCGCAGCCGCCTGCGGCCCCGCGACGACCCCGAGCGGCTCGGCGTCTTCCTGGATTACGAAGCCGGCGTCCTCGCCTTCTACGACGTGTCGGGAGGCATGAGCCACCTGCACACGTTCCGGGCCAGCTTCCAGGAGCCGCTCTACCCGGCCCTGCGGCTGTGGGAGGGGGCCATCAGCATCTCCCGGCTGCCCTAGGGGTGCGCAGGGGTGCGCAGGGGTGCGCCAGGCCTGCCCGGCTCTGGTCGCACCGACCCCGTGTGGGTGCGGCGGTAAGCCGCACCCGCGCGTCCTCGGACCTCCCCACCGCCACCAGGGCACTTAGACCACCTTGCATTTATGGTCCGGGTGCCACCAAGGGAGCCCTAAGCATCCTGACCATGTCAGAATGCATTTCCCCTCAGCCACAGACCTCTCCCTCCTACAGCAGTCAGCAATGCCTGGCACTTAGTAGGCACGCAATAAATTGAATGAATGAGAGTCCTCCAGCTCGTCCTCACTAATGTCCCTTTGAGCTGCCTCCTCTTCCACTCGGCCTCAGCTTGTCCATGTCACTTCTCTTCAGAGCAGCCGCAAGAGCATCTTAACACCTTGTGGCCTGAACCCTCTCCCATCCTCCACTGTACAGTGATACGACTGAAACCTCATTTAACCTTTTAGAACTACCAGGAGGTTCCCAAGGATCCCAGGAAGAAAAAAGCAGGCACTTTACGTTAGCATCCAAGGGTTTTCTAGTCTGCCCCCAAACTCCTAATGCCTATCTAGCTTCTACTGCTCTTTTCAGAGACCCTTTTTCAGAGTTGTGACCACCCGTACATTCTGCTGCTGTCCTCCCCTCTTGCCCCATACACAACTCATTTATACAGAAAGGCCCTTCTTCCTTTGCTGTCTCAGCCTTCCCTGGCTTAACTGCCTCAGGAAGTCTCCCCAAGCCACAAGAACCTCTCTCACTATCAGCACCACAAATCTGGAACCTGGCTTTCCAACTAGATTGGAAGCTTTCCAAAGGCAGCTATGTCCTATGCCTTCCCCACCCTGGAAAGTTCAGGATGCCCCTTTCCCTCCCAGTGAGTGACCAGCAGCTGGCTATCACTGAATCAAAGAACCGCTGAGCTGAGAAGTCCTCATGAATCAGTCTGACCTCATTGTACATTTGGGGAGACTCAGGTCCTGAAAGTTGCTTAAGGTTACCCCCAAACCCCAAAGCAAGTGTCTTACTTGCCCCCTGTCCCAGCTCTTCAGGCCCAGCTTTCAATGTGGGAGATTTTACTGCTTACTCATTTCTCAGGGGATGTTGGAAAGAAATCAGCAGGTGGCTGTTGCTTAGCAACTACAGGCAGTTTTCCCAACTGTCTTGGAACCAAAAGAGGAGGAGATGAGAGTAAGGTTTGGACAGCCCAGACATCCCCATGCCCCTCCAATCCCTCAGTTCCAGGTGTTGCCAAGGGAACCCCATTTTCCAGAAAGAGTGACAGAAATAGAGAAGGCCAAATCAGCAGGACCTCGCAGGCCAGCTCCTTCCCAGGAAGGGAAAGGCCTCTTTTGGGGGGGGCTGTGACTCAGCTTTAAAGATTTAGCATCATTATTTGTCAAATTTTCTAAGACGGTTTTGAAACCATACTATGTTAAAGTATCTTCTTAAGTGGTCAGCAAGAGGGCAGGGGAGGGTAAAGAAAATGCAAAGCTGAAATCCACTCATGGTTTCAGGGCATTAATTAGTTTGAACCACGTAAAACTGCCAATTTCCAATAGTTTCCTGACTTAATGCCGCTTCATACAGGGCAATGTAATACAAGTGACATACAAGGCAGAAGGAACCTTAAGGGTGCCTTTAATTCTAACCAAATCACTTAAAACTCTAGCTGGATAGAAAGCATAGTGTCTAAGCACATTGCTCCAAGAAATCCTGAAAAAGGGAGAATTAATTCTACTGGGGATGACCCAGAGCTGAATTCTGATGGGGTACTCCTGACAGAAGATGTCTCTCTCTCTGTGTGTGTGTCTATGACTAAATAAAATCTTTAAAAAAAAAAAAAGAAGAAGAAGAAGATGGCTGCACTTGACCCTACGTCTTTGCAAACGAAGACTGACTTCCAGACTCTGGCACTGTCCTAACGCTTTACAGCTATTAACTCATTTGATCCTTACATCATCCCTGGGAGGCAGAAAGTTATCCCAGTTCTGCACGAGGCAAAATTGAGATACAGAGTAGCTCGCCCAAGGTCACACAGCCAGTGGTGGACTTGGGGTTGTGCTCATGTCCAGCAGGCCATACTGTTCAGGTGAACACACTAGTCTGTGGCTAGTACCTGCTTGCTCCTGTTAGGCCTGTGATGCTTGGCTTTGGCCTACTGTGTTTACCTTTGGATTACTTTCCTAGGGCAGAGATGAGGCGCAGGGAGGAACTTGAGTTTGGAATTCATGTATCAGAGACAGAGCTAGACTATAAAGGACAAAAACTGGCTTTGAGCAAATGCTTACTCTGTATCAAGACCTGTGCTAGCCAGAAAACTGCAGTTTCGGTACACAATCATGTGACCTCAGGCTAGTCATTTTACTTCTCAGAGAGTCATCTGTAAAATGGGGGTGATGACCCTGCCTACTAGTGTTGGGAGGCTCAAATGAGCCAACGGTTATGAACTTGCTTTAAAAACCATATAGTACTGTACCATGCCAGGACCCACTGGCATCTCCAGCAGAATTCCTGTTGTGCCTGACAGAGCGCTGGGACAAGAGATATTCCCAGCACCAGCCTGCAGTAGCAGGAACCTCCTTCTTGAATATTCTCAATGCAAGAGTTAAGTTTCCTTGAGGTCTGTAACTATAAAAATCACTCCTCTAATTCTCCTTCAGATTGATACTTGGAGAAATTTCTTAATATACCAAACTGCTTGCATATATTTTTAAGCCACATTAATTTTATAATATGTGGTTTGTTCTAATAAATATGAATACGGTACCTTTTAATCATGTTCTGCATTGGGAGTTCATGCTGCTTCAAGTACATGGCACCTGGGCCTGGACAGGACCTTGCTCACCTCGCATCCCCTCCACAACTTTCTGGTGGTAGTCAGCTGGTCCCGGGTTGAATAGTGCCAGTAATGGAGAGTTCACTACTTATGAATATAACTCACTAAGTTCTTGCCTGTGTACAAATAAGCCCTACCTTCTAGCTGTTCCTCTCCAAAACACTACTCTGTAGCTTTTGGCATCTTTGTGACCATCCTTTAGCAATGTGGAAGCCATCTGTGGTCACTTACTGATTTGTAGAGATTTCAGGGACCCTTCCTTGCCGATTGCATCTCTTCTGTTCCTGCAATTCCACTGAGCCAGGGAGCAGGGGACAGTAATGTCCCCCTAGCAGAGGACACACACAGGTGGGCCTGCCTATGCACCAGTCCTGGTGGGCAGGAGTCTGTACCAGGAGGAGGGGACAGCCTGCCCAACAAGCCAAGCTGCATGTGAGGTGAAGTTTGGGATAAGCATGAGAGTAGGGGGCCAGATCTGAGTCTAGCATATCCTCTGAAGCCTTCCATGGTTCCCCGCTGCCTATAGAACAAAGTTCAAACTCTGCAGGTTTTTAGGCCTTTGCTTCCCTTTTTTTTTTTTTTTCTTTTTTTAGATTTATTTTAGAGCATGAGTGGAGGGGGTGGGTGGTAAACTAAGGGAAACAGAGATTCTCAAGGAGACTCCACACTAAGTGCAAAGCCTGATGCAGGGCTCATTCTCATGACCCTGAGATCATGACCTGAGCCAAAATCAAGAGTCAGCCGCTTAACCAACTATGCCACCCAGGTGCACCACCTTGCTTCCTTTCTGACCACCTTCCATATCCTTCGTCCCCACAGAGTTACTCCCTGCCAAATCATCCCCTGTAGTCCAGGGACACTCTGGCACTTACCAAGCCTGTGCCTCAAATCCCAAGATTCCTCCCTCTGTCGCTTCTCAACCTAGAAAGCCACCGGGGCCCTTCCCTGGCCATGCCTCCTCTCCCATCCCTACTTCCAGGACTCCCATCCATGGCTCCCATGACCTTTAGAAAACGGCTCAGCAATTCACACATGTAGGTACAATTTGTAGAAGTGGTTGCACCCAACAGGCCATGAACTCTCTTAACAGTGCTTGTCTGCGGGCCCAGCCGTGCATTCCCCACATGGAAGGCAGTCAAGGATGTCTTCTAGACCTGAGCTTCCCAACCAGAATGGACTAGAGGTATGCTGGGATCCTTCCACCCTTGGGTCAGCTGAGTGCAGCACAAGGCGGCCAGCTGCTACTGGCTGTGGGCACGCTGAATTTAGTCACTCATGTCATACAAAGACGGTAATTTTCAATCACACTTCAATTCTTAGCACATCATTTGACACATTCTCTTTTACACATGAGTACAACCCAGGATTCCCTCCCCACCCTACCCACACTTAAAACATCAGTGCCTCAGGGTGCAGTCAGTTAAGCATCCGACTCTAGATTTCCACTGAGATCGTGATCTCAGAGTCGAGGGATCAAGTCCCACGTTGTCAGGCTCTGCACTCAGCATGGAGTCTGCTTGAGATTTTCTCTCCCTGTGCCTCTCCCACTTGTGCTTTCTCTCTTTCTGTCTCTGAAATAAATAAATCTTTAAAAAAAAAAATTCAGTGTCTCTCCAGAAACTGCACAGGGGAGGGAGGCTCTACACTCACAAGTAAAGAAACTTCAAAAGGCTAAGTATATGGATTTGAAAAGAGACTCAAGTATACACTTTGAAACAAAGAGTGATAGTGAACAAGGTTGGATAAATATGAACAAAGATTAGGAATCTGGCAATACATTTGAAAAGAATCGTTTATCTCAGTATTGGTTCAAAAGAACAAAGGGGAGTCTGATAAGGACTCGCTGTGAAAGGTTTGTTCATGCTGCTGTTCAACAAAGTAGAACACTAAGGATCTTGTTAGCTAGGTTTGTAATTTCATGATGCATAGGGAAGGGCTGATTGCAGCATTACGACCACAAGCTACAAAACGCTGAGCCCACACTCCCCATGTCCCTTACACAGCCCTATTTCCCACCCACCCCCACCTCCCCACCATTGACATATCACCTGCTAACTTACTGTGATTTACTTACTATGCTTATGGTTTGCTGTGCCTCTATCCCCATCTGAGTGGAAGTTCTGTGAAGAAGAAATGTTCTGTTCACTGCTCTATCCCAGTACCTACAGCAGAGCCTGGCACACAGCAAGACCTCTATATTGCTGAAAGAAGGAATGAATGTCCTTTCCTCTCTTCACTCATAGAGATATGCAGATTTTCAGCAAGTTTCAGCCTGCAAGACGCCTGACCTCTTCTTTGACGCCCAGTGACCGCTATGCAGCTCACTGGGGACACAGTTCCAGGGCGGGGAGGGAATCAGGGCAATGGAGAAGAGACAGCTGGAGGCGTGGAGGGAAGTGACATTTCGGGTCATGTGGACTGTCTTTATGGGCAGGATGAATTAAGGCTTAAAGAAGAGGACCTTATACAGCCAGCTCACACACACACACACACACACACACACACACACACACACACACCTCTGTGTACCCAACACAGCAAATGGACAACAATGATTTGCTTTTGAGCAAACCACCCCTTCTGGGCCAGCCAACCTGAAGCAGAGACTGGCATGTTTGCTCTTCGTTTGTATCCCTCCTATGGGTGTGACAGTGCCTAGCCCAAAAATGTGTGTCTCGGGCGGATGAGTGGACGAAAGCCAGGTTTCTAGAGACCAGCACTCATCTCCCACCTCACCCGACGGTACCAGTAAGGCAATTCAGAGAACGGCACTTTATTTTAAGACTTGATTTTTTTGCCATGATTTTCTACCGATTCTTCCAAGATGGTGTCGTCTTCTTCAACAGTGACCAGGACCTTCTTGCCCACAAGACCAAAGATGTCTTCAGGAGGGTAGCCTTTGGGCTCACCCACCTTCACGGTGAGCATGTCCAATGTTAGAACAGTGCCTTCTGGAATCCTCACTTTGGCCACCACAGACTTGCCCAGCTGCGGATAAAATTAAGACTCAGTGTCGGCCTCATAGAAGTTAACTGGTACGTGTTGTTTTATACCTAAGGTCCCTGACCAGTTTTCACAGGATACCCGGGGAGTAGTGACCCTCTTGTCCCCTCAGGGCCTAGAAAAGTTTGGGGTGTGGGGTGTACTCAGAGGCTCAGAGGAGGGGCCTTTGGATAAACTACACAGGAAAGAGCTCAGGTTCTACAGCCAGAGCCAGGTCCAAATCCCCTTTAGGTGGGTACAAGCCATGGTGGAGTTTCTCTGCAAAATAGGAAATAACAGTGCCTTCAGCTTTGTCAGACAACTGTAAGGATTAGCAATAATAATGTCGGCAATCTACCCGGAATGCTCCCAATAAATAAAAATTATGATTACTTTTATCATCATCCAGTTCAATATCTCACTTTGAACATGGGAAACAGGTCCACAGAGGGCAGATAACTTGGCCCAAGTTGCAAGGAATGGGGATCCTGAGTCCTGGCCCACTGCTCTTAGAGGACACAAAACTTAGGGCCACCCTGCTCAATAAAATAAGAATATGGGGGGGAGGGGCTCACAAGCCTGAGTATGCTGCTACTCAGAGGACGGGAAAGGGCACCACCTACAAAGGGGCAGACAGGCAGGTGAGGGGAATAAAGGGTACCGGAAGCTCATGACCAGACTTTCTAGGTCTTGTCCATAAATGCTGATGAACAAATCACTGTATCACTCGATATCTTCCGTGTAAGGGCCAAAGAATCAATTCTACAGCTGCATGCCAGGACAAAAGGTCAGCAGCGGATGTCATCAGATGACGCATCATCCTGCTGTATAACACTGTTTGCCCAGGGAGCTGAGGGGCTCAAAACCAAATTAAGGGCTCAATTCTTCTGCCCTTCTGGTACAGTTCTCTCCCCTTCTCCTTTGCCAGGCAGTTTGTGGCCTTTTACTATTATTTTCATTTCCTGGTACATAGGCACCTTTAATTTGAGGGAAGCAATCAAGACCTACCAGAATAAAAGATGACCACATTCCTCATACATGCCTGCTGTTTGGTCTTGGCCTCCACCCAGAGGGCCACAGCAGAATAGGAGTGCCTGCACTGCCGGCAGCCCCAGGACGCCTGGCTCTGTGACCAGAGGCCAAGACAGGTTTAGGCCACGGTCTCCAAGAAGCCTAGATGGTCAGCAAGTCAGGCAGTATTCCTTGGCCCCACCATCCCATCTGTCTGATGGTCAGTGCTGTACAGCCACACTGCTCCCCGGGGAAGATCCGTATCATCCGCCATCAGTGACAAGCCACTGCCCTGCCCATCCAGGGCCACCTCTGCTTACGGATGCCTCCTTCTCCTGCTGGCCTCATGGAACCCTTCTGCCCAATTGTCTCTCAAGGCTCACCTACTCCAAAGGAGTAGGACTTCACCACCCAAGTGTCTCACAAGGCAACCCTGCTCCCTGACAGCTCCTAGAGTCTAGAGCACTGGAGTCAAAGGCTTCAGAGGCTTGGAGGAAAACTGCAACACGATTCTAGGAGACTGCTGAAACTACTGATGCTCCCTTAAGTGACATGCTCCTCCTGCTGCTAATATGACCCCAGACTCTGTGGGTCAGCCTGGGCTCAGGCAAGATGAATACCAACTCTCCTGGCAAGTATGGTCACTCCCAAGACAGTGGAGCCCAGCAGGGTTGTGGAGAACCCACCTTCTCATTGCAGGCCATCTCACAAGGCAGCAACTGCTTGGTCGGGGAGCCCATGGCCCTTTCCACGAGGCGCACAGACCGCACCAGCTCGGCCAGCTCTCCGGGCTCCAGTGAGGCTGAGTGATCACTCCCCTTCCACGTCTTGTCCAAAGTTATGTGACGCTCCAGCACCTTGGCACCCAGAGCCACTGCGGCCACAGATATCGCTATGCCTGTTTCATGCCCTGAATACCCTATGGGAATGTCAGGAAAGAGCTTCTGATATTCCTTCAAAAAAAAAGGGGGGGGGGGCGGAGTTAAATATTGTAGCATTTTATGCACACAGTGCAGAGTCAGGCAGATCTAGGCTGGAGTCCCAGTTTAGCCACTCACTATTTGTGCAACTACAGGCAAGACACTGAGGCTCTCTGAGCTTCTCACTCCTGACATATTGGTACCTGTCCAGGGCTGCTCCAAATGCGTGAAAAGCACTCAGCACACTGGAATGCTCCAAAAATAATGGCTACTCTCAGCAAGAATGCACTCTAAGAATGCTTCACACGGCACAAACCACCTGGAGTAACAAGAGAACTATAACTAAATACCTAAACTCAGTCAAAAAACATCTGCCACATTTAATTAGCCTGAGCTGCTGAAAGCAAGTGTGCTGTATGCACAAATATTGTCATCAATAATATATACAGCCCAATCTCGAAACAATCCTTTGGTGGAAATGCTAAATAATTAACTAATTTGTGATCTATAATTCACTGAATGCAACAGCAGACATTCGTCAAGCGAGTCTTGTCATTGAGGCAGACCAGAAAGCGTAAGTGTAGTAGAAAGACCCAGATG